TCCGGGATGGCCTTCAATACTTTCTTCGATTCGGCTTTTATCTCCTCAGTCGAGTCTAAACGGTATCCCCGGAGCGATCTTTTGAGTTTGTTGAACAGCTAGAAGTCGCACGGTGCTAAATCAGGCGAATACGGTGGTTGTGGAACGAATTTTTGGCGAAATGTTCTCGAAGAACCAATGTAGTGTGGGACGGTGCATTATCGTGGTGCAAAAACCAAGAATTGTCTGCCCATAATTCTGGCCTCTTGAGGCGAATAGCTTCACGCAAACGACGCATAACACTCAAATAATATTCCTTGTTAACAGTTTGGCCTGGCGGAAGAAATTCCTAATGCACAACACCGCGATAATCGAAGAAAACTATCAACATGACCTTGATTTTTGAGCGACTTTGGCGCGGTATTTTCGGTCTTGGTTCACCTTTTGCACGATATTCGCTCGATTGGTCGGTTATTTCCGAGTCGTATGTATAGATCCAAGTCTCATCTCCCGTAATGATGCGTTTCATGACGTCCTGGTAGTCAGAAATCATTGTTTCACAGATGTCCACGCGACGCTTTTTCCAAAAAATTGAGTATTTTTGGAACCAATCGAGATTTGACGCGTTTGAGGCACAAAACATCTTTTAAAATGGTTTGGGTTGATCCAAATGAAATGCCCGTAGCATCAGCAAGGTCTCTAATTGTCAATCGACGATTTTCGAACAGCAAATCTTTGATTTCCTTGACGTGGCTTTCAGTGGTAGATGTTGATGATTGTCCGGGGAGCTGTTCGTCTTGAACTCGTTCTCGGCCTTCTTTGAAGTCTTTGTAACACTTGTAAACATTTTTTTGCGACACAGCCTTATCACCAAAGGCCTTCTGCAACATCCTTAACATTTCCGCAGCAGAATATTCATTCCGCAAACAATATTTAATGCAAATTCTTTGCTCATTAAAATCAGACATAGTAAAAATCGAGAAACTTACTTTTGTATGTTTACAAAAACACGTATAGCTCTGCAGCAATTGAATATATTGAAATGAAACTCTATATAGATGTCAAAGACAGTGTTACCAACCCACTAAAAAATAATTTCATGATTTTATAGTACCCGCGAAGTTTAAATGAAAAATTCACCTTATATTTTGATCACAGTAGTACTAGGTGCGTAACTAAGTTTCCGGGTTTTTGATCAATGAAAAATGGAAAATTTCAAGAGAAATACAAAAAATGGTTTGTTCAAAGTATCGTCCCTCGCTAGCTACACATTTTTGCCATATCTCTGGCAATACATGAATACCGCGACGATGAAACGACGCGTCTTTGAATCGAAACCATTCATCCAACCAATTTTGCACTTCTTTGAAATTGGCCAAGTATTGCCCAGCCATCGACCGGAACAAGTGATAATCGGAAGGGGCCAGATCTGGCGAATACGGCGAGTGCGGTAGCAGATCCCATTTCAGCGTTTTGATGATGTCCTGAACGATGGAAGTGCGATGACACGGAGCGTTATCCTGCTGCAATAACACTCGTTCGTGTCTCGTGTCCCATTCTGGCCGTTTTTCGAGCAATGCATGGCTCAAATTGATCAGTTGTTGTCGGTAGTGATGCCCATTGACAGTTTCGCCCAGTTTCAGCAGCTCATAGTACACGATTCCTTTCTGGCCCCACCAAACGCAGAGAATGTTTTCTTTCCGAAGCGATTTGGCCGTGCCGTCGATGTTGATGCTTCGCCAGGTGAAAGCCATGATTTTTTGCGTTTCGAATTCTTGAAATATATCCACTTCTCATCGCCAGTAACAATTCGATGCAGGAAACTCTTTCTTTCGTGCCGCAAAAGCAAAATTTCGGAAGTGGCTCTTCGATTTTCCATCTGTCTCTCATGCGGCACCCATTTTCCTTCCTTTTGAATTTTTCCCATGACATGTAAGCATTTGGAAATACCTTGGCGAGTCATGTTTAATGCCTCCGCAAGTTGATCTTGTGTTTGCGTATCATCTTCATCCAATAACGCTTGCAGATCGGCGTCCTCCGGCTTGTTTTTGGTCTTCCGGAGCGCAGTGTCGAAATCGCCACTTCTGGAGCGTTTAAACCAATCTTCACAGGTAGTTTTCGATGGTGCATGTCCGCCGTAGGCCTCCTCAAGCAAACAACGTGCTTCAGCTGCACTTTTTTTCAAGTTAAAGAAGAAAAGCAAAGCTTCCGGCAAATGCTGTTTATTTGGCACAAAACTCGACATCTTCGTTGTTAGAAAAAATATTTTTGCGTTGCGATATGTGTTGGTATTACGACTGGTTATTATTAACAGATGTCTAAGCTATAAGAAAAACACAACTTCAGACATGTATGTCGACTACATATGTCGTTAGCGCCATCCATGTGTGAAACCCGGAAACTTAGTTGCGCATCTAGTAATTCAAGCTCATCTGAATCGGAGAGAGACGGTTCCATGTGTTTCCTTGTGAGATATATAGCATCATATGTACATATGCGCATTATGTACATGCGTGTTTACTTAAAAGGAAGTGGCAAGACGTGTAAAATCGATAACTGAATGAGTAATATTTCATTCGAATGGGAGGGTTAAGTACATAACAATCCTGAAAGGGTTTGCGTGCATGAGCCTTCGTTTGCGAGAAATTTGCAATTAGAGACACAGCTACATGTTAAATGTACATGTTAAGTGTAGTAACTTGGAATCAATAAGCGTGAGACGCGGTAGCTGTGGGAGCTAAGGCGCGCGCCAGTATTCTGTCGTCTACGTTCAAGGAGTGTTCGAGTCCTCGCAGTGCCAACTTTTTTCTTTTATTATATTATGTATTACTATATTTTATAATATTTCTCTAATATTTTTAATATTTTTATTATTTTTTATAAGACAAAAATATAATGCACTTATATACAATAATATCTGGGACTTCCATTTCCGGCGACAAAGGATTGTGAGTTAGAAGTGACAGGGTAGGAATTAAACGATGATTTCGGTGAGTAATAGTGAGTGTGGAGGAGAGAAAAAGGGCGTAGGATGTGGTGGAAAGGGAGTAGGGACAAGGGAGAATAAGGGTTGGGGAGGGGGAGGAAAAGTGATAGGGGGTGAGGCAAGGGTGCCCGTTAAGTCCGTTATTGTTCATGCTACTAATAGCAGATATAGATGAGGAATTGAAGAAGGGGGGATGGGGGGTAAGGCTAGGGGGAAAAAAAGTATATACGTTGGCATATGCAGATGACCTGGCAGTATTGGCAGAAAACGAGGAAGGGATGAAGGGGATGATAGGGAGGCTGGAGAGGTACGTAGAAAGGAAGGGTTTGGAAATGAACATAGAGAAAACGAAAGTAATGAGGTGCAGAAGGAGTGGAGGGAGATGGAGGAAGGTGGACTGGAGATGGAAGGGGAAGAGAATAGAGGAAGTGAAGGAGTATAAATACTTAGGATATGTGGTGATGAGGAACGGGGGGCAGGAGGCGCAGGTGAGAAATAGGATAAGGAAGGGAGCGAAGGTGATGGGACAAGTATGGGGGATAGGAAAAAGGAGGTTTGGAAAAGATTGGGGTAGGAGAATATGGCTGTTTGATAAACTAGTGTGGTCGGTGATAAGTTACGGGGTAGAGCTGTGGGAATGGAGAGAAAGGAGGAAAATAGAGGAGTTGCAAGAAAGATACTTGAGAAGATGGATACTGGGGGTAGAGAGGTGGACGCCAGGGTATATGGTGAGAGAGGAGGTGCAAAGGGAGTTATTGAGGAGCAGAGTGGGAATGAGAGCGTGGAGATATAAGAAGAGATTGGGAGAGGGGAAGGGGGATATATAGCAAGAAGGTGTTGGATGGAGATGAGGGATAGGGCGGGGAGAGGAGAAGGAGCGGGGATATGGGAGAAGGAGAGGAGAAGGTTCTTTGAGGATAGGGGGTGGAAAATAGACAAGATAGAGGAGATGAAGGAAAAGGGAGGGGAGATAAGAGGAGAAGAAATAAAGAGTAGAGAAGAAAAAAGGCAGGAAGAGGAAAGATGGGAAAGGATAAGAGAATCAAGATACAATGAGGGATACGGAAGGGTGAAGGGGAGGGGAATACCAGGATATCTGAAAATGGGATGGGGAGAGAAAAGATGAAGGAGGATAGCGAGATTTAGGCTAGGGTGTGAATTGGAGGAGGAAAGTACTGGGAGGTCACGGTATGAGAGGAAAGGAATGGAGAGTGAGAAAGAGGGAGAGATTGAAGGAGTGAAGGAGTGCGACGTGAGTGAGGAGCGCGCTTTCTCTCTCTCTCTCTCGTGCGTAGTATGTGAGAGGATATGAAATAGAGAGTTAGTATGTAAATGGCAGGTTAAAGAATTGTAACCCCAAGAGGAGGCAATAAAATATCTGTCTACAATAATATCTGTCTTATTATATAAAAAATAACAAGAATAAACGTTTTAATTATATTATAAAATTCAATATTATAAAAAATAATAAAAATATAAAAATATTATAAGATATAGTAATACATAATATTATAAAAAAGAATTGATACTGCGAGGATTCGAACATTTCTTTTATAACGGTGGGAAAATCCTTATGAATACCCTCATCCCATGGGGGAAGGGGCGGGGGTTGTGTCGGACTCTTAACGATTAAAACCCCACCGGGGTGTTTATCAGTTGAGCCGGAGTGGGGAAGCTGGGGGAATTGCTTCGGTATTCCGTCCCCGGACTCGAACACTCCTCGGACGTAGACGACAGAATATTAGCGTGCGCTTTAGCTTCCGTAGCTACTGCGTCTCACGCTTATTGATTCCAAGTTACTACACTTAACGTGTAGCTGTTTTTTAATTGCAAATTTCTCGCAAACGAAGGCTCATACACGCAAATCCTTTTAAGATTTTTATGTACTCAATCCCCCTCATTCGAATGAAATATGACTCATTCAATTATCGATTTTACATGTCTTGCCATCTCCTTGTTAGATATATCAGATATTTGTTAACAAAGACATTTCATATTATAAACATAAAATAAAGATAATGTTTGTTTCTTGTACCTGTGTGGCAATGACTGCTATAAATGATTGTATGATGCTGTTGCAGGTAGCTCTGTTTTTACTCATTATAATATTAGTGACGCATATATCATGCTGTTTTAATATCTCATCACATTTCTCAATTACGTTGGCGAACACCGGCAGCTTCATCAATTCTTCGTCATATCCAGATCATATTAATTAAAACGTTTTAATCACATATTAAGGGTATTACATATATAAGATTATACATATACATTTTATTAAGTTTGTGTACTAAAATTGTACATATACAGAAATATAACATAACTTGAGAATGCTTTCATACCTACGTTATGCCATTCAACTTCTGTTCCAGAAAACACAAAGCAAATTGGTCTTTTTTTGCACTTTTCAACTTTTCTTATTTTGTTAACAGCAATTTCAGATCCAGTTACAATATATCCTCTGTACCGATGGCCCTCAATGTTTTCAGCGTGAATGCTATGCAGAAGGGCCATATATTCTACATCTAGTTTTCGGCTATTTACCTACCACGACAAATTTGAACATATATTTCTCATTACGGGAACAATTATTTTGATTTTGGATAAAAAGTTTCTATTTGTATGCAGAACTTCAAAAATGTGTTTAAAATGGATAAAAAATAATTTGCAAATGATAAGCAGCGTCACTAAAATTTTTCGATTAGTAGTCTAAAGATTTTAAAGTCACTGTTTACGTATATAAGTCTAAATTTTTTTTAATTCCATATGGCAAAGTCTGTATGACAGACTAATTCAATATAGCGACTAAAACTATTTTATTTTATTAAAATGCAACTGGACTTTTGTTATGGAAAAAAAGTTAGATGGTGAAAATATATGAAATAGGTTTTATCTTAAATTTATAAATTATCACGAAATCTAATAACATATTTTTAGTTAAATAAACTTACATCATCTAATAGAGTTTTAACAGCTTCCTCTGTACAACCAGATACCGTTATAAGTTTAAGTAAGCCGTCTGGTGTTCCAATGTTGATTTTATTTTTGGCATTCGATTTCAACAATATGTGGCAGTTTGTACCACCAAATCCGAAAGAACTAATGCCAACATAACCTCCGTCCCATAAAGTAGGTTCAGTGACGATTTTTATTCTACCTTCAGTTATAGGAGTATGTCCCTTTCGCGGTGTTTTATAGTGTATGTTTGATGAAATAATACCAGTTTCCATTGCTATTAACACCTTGGAAATGTTAGAATTTATCAATTTCGACAACAAAACAACAAAACCTTAACTACAAGTAAGAGGTCAAGTTATAGAATATAATATGCAGTATACAGGGATCTCAAAAAGTCTTTGAACGATAAAATATCTCGAAAACAATCAGTTTTTGGAAAAAATGTTCAAGCAAAAGTTGTAAGGTTTAAAATGATCTATTTACTGATCTTATCAGTTTGACCGTGGCTAGCCTCAATAAGGTCAAGACAAAGTCATCTTGAACTTTTTAAATGGAATGCCCTACTTTTTTCATATTCTTATAACATATTTCAAGAGCTTTCCAAAACACTACAACAAAGTATTTCTCTGTTAAGTACATCCCGAGTTATGAAGCTTCAAAGTTACAGTACCGTCGGCATTAGCATTACCCAAGGTGTACCGCGTGGATGTTGCACGATCGAATTTACCCCTCTTGTGTGTGTGTGCGTGTGCGCGCACACGCGTGCGTGTGCGTGCGTGTGTGTGTGTGTGTGTGTCCGTCTGTGTGTCCGTGCGTGTGCGTGCGTTTTACACACACACACACACACACACACACACACACACACACACACACACACACACACACACACAGACACACGCACGCACGCATGCACGCACGCACGTACGCGCACACACGCATGCACGCACGCACGCACGCACGCACGCACGCACGCACGCACGCACACACACACACACACACACACACACACATACACACACACACACAAGAGGGGTAAATTCGATCGTGCAACATCCACGCGGTACACCTTGGGTAATGCTAATGCCGACGGTACTGTAACTTTGAAGCTTCATAACTCGGGATGTACTTAACAAAGAAATACTTTGTTGTAGTGTTTTGGAAAGCTCTTAAAATATGTTATAAGAATATGAAAAAAGTAGGACATTCCATTTAAAAAGTTCAAGATGACTTTGTCCTGACTTTATTGAGGCTAGCCACGGTCAAACTGATAAGATCAGTAAATAGATCATTTTAAACCTTACAACTTTTGCTTGAAACATTTTTTGCAAAAACTGATTATTTTCGAGATATTTTATCATTCGAAGACTTTTTGAGAACTCTGTATAATGTAACTTAAGGGTATAATTAATCACTTGGCTGCATAGCAAGCTGAATTTGAAAAATGTGCTTAATGGAAAAGAAATAAATTTGCAAAAGATAAGCAGCGTTATTAAAATTTTGTGATTACATGTCTAACGAGTTTTGAAATTATTATTTACATGTATGTAAATTCAAAATTTTTGAAATTCCATACGGTGAACTCTGTACTGTATGACTAACTCAATACAATGACTAAAACCATAATTTTTTTCATTAAAATGCAACGAGACCACTGTTGGAATCACTGGCTGAAAAAGTTATAATAAATAGTAAAAGTATACAAAGTATGTTTTATCTTAAATTTCTCGTGTGGGGTTTACTGGTCCCCCATCGGGCGCCTCCCCAGGTAGCGAATTAGAGAACGCTCGCTAGCTATGCTGGAGGCCACCGGGGAAATAAAATACCCGGGGTGGACCAAAACCATGAAAAAAGGAGGGCGTACTAGGTGGCGACGAGACGCCGTGCGTTCAGGAGCTGCATCTTATTTTCGTTCTGAAGAGAGAAAAATATCGAGAGCGCGGTAGTCGCTAGACCGAGAATCAAACCCGGGTCTTTCGCTTGCCGGGCGACTGCTCTAGACTACTGAGCTATCTGACGCTCCACGCTCACGACACTTTCCTCTCCCTAGATAACGTTGAGAGATGTCGTTCGGAAGTGACATCTCTAGTGCTATCTCGAGCGCATGGCGACTACAGAGAGAGGCATTGTTACTTGTTACCTAGTGGTACAAGCTGGTGTTTCTCAAAGTCAAAGGTTGCTATCCTTTAAGACCTGCTGTCCATATATGCCCGCCTCCACCGTTGCCCCTCCTTATCCGGTGCAAATAATAGAAATAAGCCCCGGGATCGACGCCATATTTTGGCTGCCCCCTGGCGCTTGGACACGTTTTTACAACGTGCCGAAGGGGGATTCACCATGAAAGAAGGAGGGCGTACTAGGTGGCGACAGGACGCCGTGCGTTCGGGACCAGCATCTTATTTTCGTTCCGAAGAGAGAAATAATTTAAGCAATGGAGAAAACAGAAATTAGTACCCCAGATAGCAGACCAGTGATACTGGCAAATCCACCCTCTGAGGAGGCTGGCCCCATGGATTCTGGGGGAGGGGAAGAGGGCCGACTATTGTTTGGAAATGACCCAGAAGTAGGCTATATGGTGACAAGTCCTCACCTCACCAAAACAAACCGTATTATGCAATGGAAGTAATGAAGTGGAGAATGGAGGTGCTGAAGAAGAAATCAAATACTTGCGTATAAGACTGCAGGAATTGGAAGATCTCTGTTCGTAGATGCGAAATGAGATCCAAATATTAAAACCAAAGAACGATTAATTCATTAGAGAAAGCAACTCTAGTCATGACCAAGCAGAGACAGCATGTGATTTAAACAAGCGGGATTATCACACGGATGAGGAAGAGTTAGCTCGTGAGACAGAATGGATCCTAAACAAGTAGAGACCCAACAAAAAAAGGAAGGCAGTTTCCTCCTGAACTGAAACTGAGCTATCTAAAGTTGATAGTAGCAGAAAACAGGAAATGAAGGAAAATACACAACCATAAAAACAGCAATCACCACCTATTAACGTGGTTGGAATTGAAGAAATGAAGAATTTACTAAACTTCAATTGCTATTTAAATCAATTAGGCTAACGGACTACAAGATCACAACCCTAAACAATGGAGTATGGAGGATTAGTGTCTCCGATTCGGATGCCCACAGGATCTTAACATATAAACTGGATTTAGAAAGGGTTCAGTGGTATTCGTATGCAAACAAACAAGAAAGACCAATAAGGGTTATGGCTAGAGGGCTACATACATTATGCGAAAGTGAAGATATTCTGGGGGACCTGTGTAATAAAGGGTACAAAATACTCGATGCAGTGAATATCCTGAAGAAAGAAAAGGGAGAAAATCAGCTAGGTGCACAAATTACTATTAAGCGTGGGCTCCCGCTCTTCATGCTAACGTTTGAGAACCAAGAAAGGCCAGGAAAAATCTATGAAATAAAGGTGATCCTCAATACCATAGTTAAGATTGAACCAATGCAAAGAAATACCAAAAGAATACCGCAATGCAAAAGATGTCAGGGTTTTAACCATACGCAAATTTATTGTCGGAAGGAGCCGCGGTGTAAAATGTGCTGGCAAACATTACCAGAGAGTGTAAAATAAGCAGACAAACAGCTCCAAAATGCATCAATTGCAATGGATTGCACCCAGCAAACTACAGAGGCTGTGAAGTTACCAAAGAGCTCCAAAAAAGACGTAGGCCAAGAAACCTAACGATCAAAAAAAGCAAAAAAAGGCTAACTGGGCAATGACTTGAGCAGTAAAAAGAAACTCGAAGGAACGGAAGTCAAAACACTTACCATCGGTTATAAAACCTTTGCACAAGTGGTAAGGACACCCTGGCCGGAGGTGGGGCGGGCCCTTGAGTATCACGGGGTGCCCGCCTACCTCCGGCGCATATTGGCGGCTTACTTCGAGGGCAGAGACCTCGCCTTCAACAAAGAAGGCAGGGTTCTAGGTCGGCGCGCAATGGAGCGCGGTGTTCCGCAGAGGTCGGTGCTCGGCCCTCTGCTATGGAACATCACGTTCGACCGGGTGCTGCGAACTCCTCTCCCCCCGGGCTGCCACGTCGTCTGCTACACGGATGACACCTTAGTGGCAGCAGGGGGGAGGAGCTGGGGGGAAGCTCGTCTCTGCGCAGAGGCTGCTGTGGCATCGGTGGTGGGAACCATTGAGGGCCTGGGACTGAAGGTGGCGCCCCAAAAGACTAAAGCCATGTTCTTTCACGACGGCAGTCGAGGGGTGCCACCCGAGACCCAGGTCCTAGTAGATGGCATCCGCATCCGCGTCGGGCCGACGATTAAATATCTCGGCCTGACGTTAGACGGCCGGTGGGACTTTGGCCCACACTTTAGGGATCTGGCCTCCAGGGCGCGCAACGCGGGACTGGCAGTCACTAGTCTCCAGCGCAACCTTGGGGGCCCAGGATGGAGGGCTCGCCGCCTATAAGCGACGGCCGTTCTGTCGATCGCATTATACGGGGCGCCAATCTGGGCGCCCCAGCTCAGCGCCTGCCGCGAGGGCCAACGAAGTCTGAGGCAGACGCTGAGGCCAATGTTTATAAGGATGTCGAGATTGTACAGAACGGTCTCGTACATGGCGGCGAGCACCCTGGCCGGCTCCCCTCCCGTGGAGCTCATTGCGGAGGAGCGCAGAGTCCTCTATTGGAGGATAAAGGATCTCCGCGAGGAGGGGGGCCTTAAGGCCAGGGATGTGCGGGCCTTAAAGTCTCAAGCCGTGGCCCGTACCCACGAGATGTGGCGGACAAATTGTCCGACCCACGGGGGTACGGGCGCCAGACGGCGGAGGCCGTCCGCCCCTGCCTGCCAGAATTGGCAGGCAGGAGGGGATGCGGATTGTCCTTTCATCTGGTGCAAATACTGACGGGCCATGGATGTTTTGGCATGTATCTGCACCAGATAGGAAAGGAGCCCACAACCAGATGCCACCACTGCCCCGTGCTCATGGACACGGCGCTCCACACCCTGGCCGCTTGTCCGGTCTGGGAAGGGGAGCGCCGTGTCCTGGCCGGGGCCGTGGGGTGGCGCAACGGGGACATCTCGCTCCCACGCATGGTGGCGTCCATGTGCGGGAGCGAGGAGGGATGGGAAGCGGCGGCCTCCTTCTGTAGAGGCATAATGTCCAAGAAGGAGGCCGCCGAGAGGGAGCGCCGGCCACATATAACCCGTCGTCGTTGACGATGACGGGGTGGCCGGCAACCCAGAGGGGGGGACCATTTAGGCGGATCCGAGGAGACACCGGCTGAGGAGGAGGAAGGAGCCCCGACTAGCAGGCCTC